CTGTCCTCCTGTGGATGGATTAAACTCAAGCTCCAAATCTTCAGATAATGCCAGCATAGTGGACATCTCATTATACTTTTCCATTTAGTTATTTACATCAAGACATAATTTGAATAGTTCCCATTCATATATTTGTTCAGCGTAACATATCAAAATACAAATAAAATTGGTATTTATTTAATTGGACTACTTTAAGACTACAATGTTTGGGTAAAAAATCACCACAAGCAAACCAAAAGGTTTTTTTGCATGCATCTTGAATAATTCATATTTGTCACTAAAGAAGAAATTATGAAAAGGTATTCAGATATACAACATACAATGGATGGAAACTAATCAAAGAGAGATGCAACCTAGAAATAAGGAGATATTACCTGACAGTTAGAACAATTAATTAGTGGAACGACTTGCCTCCAGAAGTTGTGGATGCTCCAACACTGGAAGTTATTAAGAAGAGATTGGACAACTATCTGTCTGAAATGGTGTAGGGTTTCCTGCCTGAGCAGGGGGTTGGATTAGGTGACCTCCAAGGCCCCTTCCAACTTTCTTATTCTGTTAAATTATTTAAGCATATTTCAGTGAGGATTTATTTATTAAAATTCAGAACTTCAGCACTGGATCTCTATAACCCATCCATATCCACATATTTTAAATGCAATTGGAACTAATGGATTTGCATTAATCACAATGAACTTCCCCAAGCTGCCTATAATGCAACTGATAGTGAAATTCTATGTATCTCTTATATATCTATTTAATCATAAATCCCACTGAATTCAATGCAAAGAAAACCACTAATGCAGTTCACTGTTAAGATACTTTATACATGTGAAAGCTGTTTATTCATGACAATCAAGAGCATTAAAAATCTTAACCATTTGAAAACTAGCAATTTCTTCTTAGCATAATTAATTATTGGGGGGAAACTGAATCTCTTCCTAGGATGAGAAAGTAACGATAGGGTATTTTCAAAAAATTTCTATAGCAGAAGTCACCGGATAGGACAAAATATATCCAGCCATACTTTCAAGACTGAGAAATAATTAGAATCCTTGAAAATAAAGTGTGGATTCAGTTTTATACATTCAAGGGCAAAAGAAGTATGTATTGAGCATGTGTACATTTGTAGAGCTCTATAAATCCATTTATCCACCTAGAGGAGAAAGCCAAGAATAGCTACAGAGTGATTTAACAGAGGTCAGAGTTTTCCTGCATAATCCCTATCAAATCAAAGAGAGTAGCATAAGTTTTTCAATGAATTCTGATGTATTATTCAAATACTTTGGGTTTTTTTGGGAAAAAACAGGAACAATGGCCAAATAACAATATAGTAAATGGATGAACCATAAGCTAGAAAGGAGTAGTGAAATACTCCTAAAATAATTCATTGTTAAAGTTATAATGCTATGGTACAAGACAAAATTAAGTATACTGGGAAAATAAAATTAATCAATTAAGTTATATATTTGAAAGTCTGAAATGGTGGCTTCCTTAATTAAAGTAGTAATTTATATTACTCTTTATTGCTGACCTTAGTTTGCCATTCACAATGGTACTTCTAAAATAAAACAACCTGAATGGCATGTAAACACAAGATTTAAAAGCAAAATCATACAACAAAATTAAGTTCTTTTCCACTACTTACTCGTTCACTTCCTTGGAACCAAAATCTAAGTATCGGTTGCTGATCCACTGAATCTCAAACCAGTCTCTGTAACCATTATTTCCACAGCATTTGAACTCAATCTGGAGCATATCAATTGTCTTCTTCATGAAGCACCTTCCTGGAGTATCTGTGTCACGGTAGAACTTCATACTATTTTTTAACCCTTCTACCAGTGTACCGTCAAGAGAACCCCTCATCAGAAAGCAAATAAGAGCAATTAAAAAAATGAAGACATTAAAAATTACACATATGGCTAAATAGAGTTTCAGGAAAAATTTCCATTTTTCAAATTTAGCAGGATCCAGGGAATCGTAGCATATCTTGCCAGCAAGAGCATTGGACACACAGGCAAGTACACCTACCAGTATTAAAGAGTTGGGCACAAAGTGGCTTTCAGAATTGTCCATCATTTCGCTTCGCTTCCTGAGCTCAATTTTCAGGAAAAGTCCCATAGAAAAAACAACAATTCCAGCAAACACTGAAAACCAATTCATGAGCCATAATCCTTGTGCTAGTTTTACTCGTTTCTTCTGGTTAAACTTGATTTTCATCACTGCCATCTTTTTCGCAACGCTGGTTGGACCAAGCTTCTCCTCAAATCACCCCTTCTTTGAAAAGGGTTAAGAGTAGAACTGGAAAGATATGCCACCACTCAGGCCTTAAAGATTCAAAGGGGCATCCGTCTTGCCGGGACATTATTTAGTTTTTCCATCTTCCTCAACCCAAAATTGAAGAAGTGCAGATACATTTTTCAAATCGGCAAGATTTGAGGTTTTTTTTTAAATCACATTAATAAAAGATTATTGGCAAATAAGATATGCAACTATTTGTGGCCGTCCCTTCTATACAAAGGAGAAACTGTTTCAATTTCAAATAATTAAAGCTGGATCTATACTACGTCATTCCAATACTAATTAGTGTAATCCAATTTAAGAAATCTCTGTCCACAGATAAGCCAAGAAAATAATCCTTTCATTTTACTATTCGGTAGATTTGTGCTTTCACATGATATGACCGAAAAAGAAGATATAAAAAGTTTCCCCGTTCCTAGACTTCCATCTCCTCAGGAAATAAGTTTTGAAACCTATACCAGGTGCTTTTCATACACTGACCTACAAATGAGACAGTCTATCATACCACTTATCCTTATGTCACTCACCTTGAATGACATGCTCTGGGACTTAGGCATTTTGGAGATGGAATTAGGTCATGTTTTCAATGATTTTCAATCTAAGCATTTTAAAGATAAAAACAAGAATTACCATCTTAATTGTGACAACTTTACTAAATCATCACAGGAGCTGTGTCAAACTGCCAAGACATTTGACCCCAAAATACAGCAGTTTACAGATTAATCACGAACAGCCAACAACGAGCTTGCTGAGAAAGGAACTTCATGTACAAGGCAAAAGGGTGTAATTATCTCACAGTTAAGGGGAGTCTAAATTCTGTCATTGCTATTTAAGGTAGAAAAGTGTCTTTTATTGTGCTAGAAAACATTAGTAGGGTGTTCTGATGGAACTTACAGTACTGCATGGCAAGAGGTGAGCCAGTGATATTGGACCGGGAATGTGGAGAGCCAGATTCAAGTCCACCATTAGTCATTGGACTTGAGTGGTTTTGGAGCAATCACTCTCTCAGTCCAATTGACCTCACCAGGTTGTTGTAGGAAAAAGGGGGTAAAAGAGTGCTACTTTGAACTGATGGCCAAAATAGTGGCATAGAATTCTAATAATAGATGTAAATTTGTGGACCTGTGCACTATGCTTAGGTCTTACTGAATATTAGTACTAGGGACATGCTTGGTTCATTTTTAAATGTGAGCTGTGCAGAGATTGTAAAAAATCTACTGTGTCTTCTATGAACTTGTTTATCTTATGCTTATTTTTGCAATAATGAACTAGTTATCCCCAAGATACTTAAAATCTTTGCAATATACCCAAATATACCTAACATTCACAAAATTAAATGGAAGATGAAAGTCTCACTTTAAATAACAAAGACCTAATCTTTGTGAAATGAATGACTGAAAAATGAATCTTGCATTATTTGATCTGAATCTCCACAGAAAGATGATAAAGATGTAAGCTTAGAGGAGTAGGTACACATCACCAAAAGATAACAAATAATATTGATTGGCTAGGAAGTTTTATACAATCAAATCCTGAACTGTTAAATTGTATTTAAAAAATTAAAACAAGATGTGCCAAACATAGATTTTTCTCAGGTAATATTACAATTGCAACATCTCACCTTCAAAATGTAAGGAAACTGGAGCAGAAATCTCTATTACATTACAAAGAAACCCATATTGATAGATTTCTATGATGTCATGGTAGGTGATGAAATATGGTGAGTAGATCTGGGGGCAGGTTTCTTCTGTTCAATCGTATCCAATTCTCAGACACTTCTCCACCCGCCCCTCCTCCCCAGCTCATATGACCGCATTTCAGGAGTTTGGCAATCTGTTCACATTTATGACCAGTTGCCAAGTGCCCTGTGACCATGCAATTGCCATTTGAGACTTCTGGGAACCAGCCGAGAAGGTTGCAAACAGAGGAGACTCTGGATTTGAAGCTTGTTCCTTCAGTGTATGGAGGGATTTCCCCTCTGTTCTGTGCAGGGAGGGGGATCCTCTCCTGTGCTAAATGAGCTGAGTTTAAATCTGGCAAAGCATTAACAAACCTGATCTTCCAAAAGGCTCTGAGCAGATGCCAGCTTGACTTGTGTTTTCTCCTCTGGAGAGGAGGATGCTAGTGAAAGAAGTAGATTCTGGAGGAGAAAATGCTAAAGGCTCCAAGTCTCAGCATTCTGAAATATCGAGGTTCAGAGCCTTTCAGAATGCTGGATTTGCATTTTCTGAAGCAGAAAATGGTAGCGAACACAATCATTCTCATGGTGGTTTTGAAGGCCCCTTCTCCAAACTGTGCAATTTGGAGTAGCCTTCTGAATCATCACAAGAATGTGACCCATGTGCAGGATGGAGTGAGGTGATGGAAAGGTAAGTGGAACAGAGTGTGGTAGGGCAGGGATAAGGTCTATGTGCTGGTGGCCTAGCTGGGCAATGCTTCCCAGCCCTAGGCAGGTTTCCACAGGCTGATGGGCACCCCCTGAGCACCCCCACACAATTGTTTAATGACTGCAATGGGGAGAGCTTGGATTGTGGTCATTGAACAAGGCAATCACAGGGGCACTTTTCTTAATGACAGCAATGATTTACAATCAAAATTCCGGGCACAAGTGTGGTTCTAACTGAATACCTGTATAACTTCAAAACATTATCAGTTACCCTCTTTACTAGACACAAAAAAGCAGACAACTAATATTCTACAGTACAGCAACTGAATTTTAATCTGTTAAGGAATATATTCAACACTTCTTTCCAAAGGGTCAAACTAGTACTTAAGAATCTTGTGGCTGTTTTCATGAGTACTGAGATAGCCAAGAACAATCTTTGAAGCAGCCCCACAAAGCTTGCCAACAATACAGTTGCTTTAATATTTCAAAGCCAAGGGTTTTATAAGAACTCCTGTACATTGTTTAGCACTTCTTGCAGAAGCTTTGGACAGTTCTATCTTCAGAATACTTTGAAGCTTCTATATATCTTGTTTTACTTTAGTATAAATATTAAGAAGAAATGATAATGGATGCAGTAACAAAATTGTTAATAAATAACAATCCAAATAACTGAGAAATTTTCAATCAAGGTATTGTAAAAAAAATAAAGTGGAAATAAAACAAATATCTTAAGATGTTCAAATTGTGAAATATTTCTGAAGTGTACATTAAGTTATAAATGTACATGTTATATAAAATCTTACATTATTTTATTACAGAAATATTTTATTCAAAATGTAGCAGAAAGGTATAAGGCAAACTTGACTTTATCCTTTTGCATTTTATTAATTTTAGAAGGACACTTAAGCACCTACTAAACTTTCTGCCACTTAAAGTGCATAACTATGTCCCAGGGCCTATATATATTTTTGGTCTGTCCTTTTAGACATCTATCTTCAAAATGCTTACAGGCACACAAAAGTAAAAGCACATACTGTTTGTGATCCGAAATTAAGCACTTTTACAAACTCATCAACCTGCACGATGTTTTGTAAAAGTGAACTAATGCTGACATAGTTTCTGAATAACTTTCAGAATGATTTGCAAATTAATTTTATAGAATTCTCTGGCTTGGTACTATTAGAGGAAGATGGATCCCGGAAAGAATCTGCTTCAGATACACAGCATAAGTTAAACTATTTTAACAAGGGAACATGCTAAAAGTACTTCTGAAACCATGCATCTCTAAATTATTTCTTATACAGTTGACAAAAAAAATCTACAGTATCTTCAAACCATTCCTATCTCATAACACTCTTCAGGAAGACTATTTTTTTAATCCACATATATCATAAACACATTTCAGAGATAAAAATAGCCAATGTTTAAATAACAGTAATTTTAATCAGTATTTAGGTGAGCAAATTACTAACTGGATAACATTTTAACAGAAGTTAAAATCTTCAGCCCCGCAAGTTTTCTTCCTAAGAGGACAAAAACAATCTTACAGCTACAACTGCAGATCTACAGAAAGAACCCCAGCATACACAATACTAAACATTAGCACCACGACACATAATCAGCAAGTACATAGTTAAAGGTTATCAGGACACGTGTTTTGGCAACCTAATCATACTCTTTAAAGTTTCCAAACATCATTCAGGACTATTTAATGCATCATTAATTCTGTCCTTTGAAAAGTCGCTCCTCTTTTTCAGTGCCGCTGTTTTGAAATCCTCTACAAATGCAGGCTGTAACTCAATTCCAATTCGTGATCCGCTCCTTTTCCGGGATCACACACCAATTCGGGGAGGCCTGATCCTTGGCCAGCCAATTAAAGTCGTCCACCTGGTCCCAGTTGTTCTTGCTTCTATCAAGCCCAGCAGTCTTGAAGTCAGCATCAATGCCTGCATAATCCCATGAATAGGGGGCGAAGCGCACAGCGCAGCAGTCCTCCAGCATCGCTCGGCTAGTCACTTGTACGTAGAAGCTCGTCTCCGTCGCGCGGCGAGTCCGGAGCTGCTGGCAGGCGAGAGCCACGAGGCAACCGCTACACCCATCCACCCGCGCCGAGGTCGACACGGGTCCGCACAGTATGGTACAATCGTCGCAGTCGCGCACCAACAACGTGTTGGGGTTGCCGCGTAACAGCACCCGGCAGCGCCTAAGGTGAGACAGCACCACGTCCTGCTGCAGCAAGTCGGTCGGCCCGAGCTCGAGGGTCTGTCCCTCGGCCCGGCTGAAGCCGCAACCTGGATCCACCTGCGCGGAGGTTGCCGCTTCTTTCTGGTCTTTCGCGGAGCTTTCCCGGGGCGGATGCTGAGCGGAAGACTTGGACGGAGCCGGGGCAGGGTCCTTTTTGAGGGCTTTGGTGAAGGCGAACCGCTTCTTCGGCTTCAGCTGGAGGCGCCTGTCGGAGAGCTCGCCCTGCAGCTTGTTCAGCGCCGCCTGGGCCTGCCGCACCTCATATGGAGCCAAGAAGCGCACTGAATCAGTCAGCAGCCGCTGCAGATCCTGCAGTCGCCGAGCCGCCTCCGACACGGCTTCGACAGCCGCCTCGGCACCCTGGGCCGGCTCCGACCGCAGCAGCGCTTCGATGGTCTCCCGCTCCCGGGCAAAGGAGGCGGTGAAATAATCGCTCTGCTCTTCTAACACCGACTGCGCGTCGCGATCTCGTCGCTTTCTATCTGCCTCCTCTCGTCGTTCCGCTTCTCGCTGATGCAATCTGTCGGGAACCAGGGCGGAAAGGCCGGCAGCCAGTGGCACCCGGTCGCTCTCCACCGGCGGCGCACCCTCCGAAAAAGCCTCCATCTTTCTCTCTCTCTCTCTCTCTCTCTGCAGCGGCTTCGATCACCTCGTACTAAGACGAAGACCGATTGGTCCCTTCCCTGACCCCGCCTAAGATTTGTGAAGTGACCTCCCGGCGGACGTGGGCGTGTCTTAGCCATTTTGTTTTTAAAGGGATCTTGATTCAATGGCTGGCGAGAAAAATGTGTAAAGCGGGGCTCGTTTTCCTTTAAGATGCAATATTAACGTCAGTGAGAGCAACCAACCGTCTTTTAGGTGAACGATAGCGCGGTGACTTTGAACTCACTTTTCGTCCAAATAGCTAACAAGCCTTCCCATTGACGTGCAGAGAACGATTTTCTCCTATAAATTGTGAAACAATAGTTTAAATGTTCATCTATATCACATACTCATCAGATTTCGTTTTTTGGGTAAGCAAAGGAGTTGCAGAAAAGGAGTAAGGTAGTATACCAAGCCAAAAAAATTCAAGGCAGGGCTTCCGAGAAAGGAACTAGAATTATGTGTAATATTTATTACTATACTTTCTGTCCATACCTTTCCGTCTTGACAAGCAATCCTTGCTTTCACCACATTCATACACTAACTCTTGCAATATAAATTTTCCACCTTTTTTTCTTTTTGAGAAAAGTATGACATAAATATATGTCATTTTCATCCTAGGTTATTCTTGGACTTCTAGAATTGGAAAAAAATGCAAATTTGGAGTGCAGCTGGATTCAATCAACAATATGTGAAAATTGGTCTGGAAAAGCTTGGATAATTGCTGCCACTCATTGTAGAATTCTGAACTACTATAGAAATCTATTTTAATGTAAAATTTTGATTATTCATTCCATACTGACTTTGCCAGCCTTGAAAAATCTGCATGTTTGGTATGGAAATTATATTGTCACCCAACTCTTGCATGTAAAAGACAGGATCACATATTGTGGGTTAATCTGAAATATTTTTGCTATTCTGGTTTATTTAATTTATAAATTTAAATAGGTATGTTGTTGGTTGTCTATCCCTGGATTATTTAATCAAAGTCTTATTATTAAAATTGGAAAAATGAGTGCTTTGTATATAACCTTCAGTCCCTGGTGGAAAAATGTGATATATCATAAATAGAAATTAAATGAAAATGTTAACTATTAAGTATTCTGTTTGAATCAGGGGTGTCAAACTCAATTTCATTGAGGGCCGCATCAGCATTGCGGTTGCCCTGGGGGGGCGGGGGGGTTGGCCAGAGTGGGTGCGGCCTACTGGGTGGGCGTGGATGGAGTGGATGTGGCCTACTGGGTGGGTGTGGGCCAGCTCTACATCATTCGCATCAAGGGTGCCTGTGGGGGCCTGGGCAAGAGTGGGACAGATCTGAGGGTCTCTGGCAGAAGGGGGTGGGACCAGGGGCAAGTGCCAAGGCATGATCCAGTGGAGGAGCCTCACTGTTCCTCTCAGGCCATGCGGGGGGGGGGGTGTTGGATGGTGGTGCTGGGAGCCCTGGACAGCAGAGGTCAAATGCCCAGCCTGGCCCTTGAGCACCCACAGCACCAAGCCCAGCCCCACTTCCCAAGGGGGCACCCAGCTGCACTTACCTCCTCAAGGCTGCTGCTGCTGTGCTTGCACTTCTTATCCAGGTTGCTCATGATAGGTACGAGGGCAAAGTCAGAGGGAGGCCCATTCCCTCTCCATGGGAGGAGACCCGGCTTTGTATCCAAAGCTTCCTTAGCAATAGGATGGGAGACCCCCAGGATAGGCCAGGAGGAGGGGGCAAGGGGATGGTGAAAGGGCAGGACTAAGGCAGGACTTTCCTCAAACCCTCCCTCTCCTTCTTTCCTTCCTTCCTTCCTAAGTACAGAGTAGTGGGAAAATATTTGAGATGAGAGAGGGAGAAAAACAGGCAAGAAACGCAGCTGGGGAGGTGTCACCCTTTGTGAGGAATGAAGAAATGCACCATCGCCTGGAAGTGGCCAGCACATGGCCCTCACCTACTTCACATATCTGGCTTGGTGGGCTCTGGGGGAGGGGATGCCATGAGCAGCATGAGAGTCAACGTTATCTGTGCAATGCCGCCCAACCCCCAGCCTGCCCGGTTTCAGCAGGCAGCGGGGCGCTTTCCTCATAGTGCCAAGAGGCTCAATCGGGCGGCGCAAATCCAAAAAGAAGTGTGATGCCGCCCAGCCCCTAGCCTGCCCGGTTTCAGCAGGCAGCGGGGTGCTTTCCTCACAGCGCTGAAAGGTTGAGCCGGGCAGTGCGAAGCTCGCCAGCTTTGCACCTTGCTGCCTGCTAAAACTGGGCAGGCTGGGGGCTAGGCAGCACTGCACTTCTCATCAGATTTGCGCCATCCGGCTCAGCTCTTGGCGCTGTGAAGAGAGCGCCCCGCTGCCTGCTGAAACCAGGCAGGCTGGGAGCTGGGCGGCCTCGCATTTCTTTTTGGATTTGTGCCGCCCGGCTCAGTCTCTCAGCACTGTGAGAGCGCCCCACTGCCTGCCGAAACCCCTCCCCCAGAGCCCATCAAGCCGGATATGTGAAGTAGGCGAGGGCCATTTGCTGTCCACTTCCAGGCGATGGTGCATTTCTTCATTCCTCACAAAGGGTGACACCTCCCCAGCATGCACCCAGGGGGCGGGGCCAATGTGGCAGGGGCTGGTTCCTTGCTGATTCCAGACGGCCTTGTGGAGCTAAGACTGAATGCATTTCAGCATAGATGGCCACCAGAAAATTGTACATTGGCTCCCGGCCGGCCTGGGCCAGGGCCAAGGCAGCGGGGGCCGTTCCCTCACTGTTTCCAGGATGGCTTCGCAGGCCACATGAAACCATTTCGCGGGCCTTGTGTTTGACATGTCCCGGTTTGAATGATCCAAAGAAAGGAATGATTTTCAGTTGCTAGTTTGGAAAAATACACACACACGAAACATAATGTGGAATTGCTCTTTTGCTTCAGATGAGCTGTTGAAGATGTTCCTGACAGATGCCAACTGCATACTACATATTTGAATCACATTTGCCTTTTTATCTACCCCCTTGTTATCTGGCTTATTGAATCAGCTGAAAGTAGCTGGATTTAGACAATATGTTAAGCTATGGCTTAGTAAGTTACATGAATCCAGCTATACATTAGTTGACAAATTAAAGTGTAGATCTTTTGGGTTAAAAAAAGCAAAAACGAGATCATGGCAATGGTAACAGCTATTCATATCTTCCCTGCCTTCTGAAACTTTAGCCTGCTGCCAGTCACTCAAGCTGATGGTCGTAACTTATCCCTCCAAGACTCTCCAAATAACTGTTTTTAACAGTTTGTAGAAACCAAGTACAATTAGGGGAGGGGGCTTTTCCAAAGTATTGGCACAGTTACACAGAAAATATGCCTATGAGCCTCCAACTTTTACTTTGTAAAAGTGTGGAATCATAAGGAAGTTCTATCAAAGTATTCAAGATGGGAGAGTAGAAACTGGGCAGAGAAAGAAGTCTGAAATGTATGTCCTCTGATGTCAAAACATGTAGGCTTTAATTATAAAACCAGAATTTTGACTTACGTTCAGAAGCTAATAGGAAAACAGTGCAGGGCTAAAGCACAAATGTAATGTACATACATCAGCACCCTGCAGTAATCCGAATGAGAGGTAATAAGGCTTGAGTTGATAATTATTATTAGAACAATTTTATACAATATTAAATGTGTTAGTTTGATTTCAAATCATGTAATGTTGTGAATGCTTTTGATAAGATATTGGTGAAAATGGGTTTGCTTTATTTGTGATGTCGATGTGCTGGCCTTGGTTCCAAAGTTTCTTTGATATCTCTCTGAGCAAAAAATAGAGACAATAGTTTTAAACCAGGATTAGCTGAAGGTGCAGGCAGAGAATGGCCTACATACCATTATTTTTACTGTGTGAAAAGTTACTCCCTGAGAAATTTTCTTAACAGCAGTATTTATTTTCTCGTAACAGATAATTTGAAAGAATGAGAAAAGTAACAAGAAGCAAACATCTGCTTATGAGGTAAGATTTTATAATAGTAAAGGAAATAAAATAATTCCAAATGCATACATTCTTTTAATCCATTTCTCTTCTAAACTGTTCAGTGCATATATATGAAAATTGCATTCTATTCTAAAATAAAGGTACTTTGTATTCCAGAGAAGTCCTTTGTGTCTGCCTATTTTTTTAGCTTGGACTTTCTTCATTAATTTCTCTATTATGACATTTGTCCACAAGATACTTCCTCATAACCTCATAAATATGCATCCCTCGAGTCCTGCTCTTGGCAATTCTATGACCAGGTCTGTCCACATCTTCCGAAAACAATAGCAAAATAATATATCAACATAAATTGCACATGCCTAAACTTTGTTGTGTCTCTGCAGTGAGAGCCAATTTGGTCTAGTGGTTAAGGACCAGGCTAGAACCTGGGAGAGCATGAATTCTAGTTCTGCCTTAGCCATGAAAGACAGCTGGGTGACTCAGCCTGACTCATTTTACAGGACTGTTGCTGTAGGGAAAATAGGAGGAAGAAAGAATTATATATATGTTTGCCTTGAGTTGTTTATTAAAAAATCAAGGCAGGATATAAACAAACAAGCAAATAAATAAGTCAGGGATGCCATCCTGTTTCATGAGGGACAGTTTCGAAGGCGGCTTGACAGTTTCAAGGCAAATTCATGGACTCCCTGGCTTCTTTCCATTTCTATCCAGCCTCACCTATAAGTACAGGAAAAACTGATTATTCTTTATTCATAACTTCACGGCAACCTTGAAGAACTTAGCTGCTTCCTCCATCTTTATCTTCCTGGGTATTCAACCCTTTGTCTCTCTGTGTGTATGTGTGTGCGCGCCCCCTAGGACTATCAATCTGTATAAAAAACTAATCTACAAATTGCCCAGTGATCATATGCACATTGGTATGGATCTTCGCACCACCCCCTCTATTAGATTTTCCTAGTAAACAGGAAAGCATTTGTTTAATGAACGAACTTCTCAGAACCTTGATAAATAATCTATCTGCTATTAAAATTGTCTGTACCC